TCTGACAATACCTCTGTTGTTTTAAATGGAATGAGTTATGGTGAGCTACAGCAACTGTCATGACCCGTCAGCCTGGTCAGCAAAAAATAATGTATAAATCGAATTTTAGACACTAGCGCATTCTGTGACTTGCTCACACAACTACGTTCTTCTTTAGTAAACAAATTGGCTCACACAACTACGTTATTTTTTAGTAAAAAAATTGGCGACAGCTGGTCCATATAGACGGGAAGTCTACTTCAGTATCCAATAGTCAATGATAAGACGTTAGACAACACAACAAAATATACTGTAATGAAAAGTACTGATGTGTATTGTACATAACATAATTAACACTCATGTCAATTTAACACCATATCAACTTTACACTCTAAAAAATGTTCAACTACTCAACATTACCTTCTGAGAACTTTTTACTAGGACAAATTTTCTCCCTGAAAACTTTAAACCCTGACTTTAAACACTTTGAAAACTTTACACCCTGACAAAATCACTTTGAAAACTTTCCACCCTGGCCCTATACTGTACATTGGAAACTTTACAGGCGCACAACTAAGATAGTTATTATTTTACAAATTACCACATCAATTATTTGAAATACTGTAGAGTAGAGGTTTTACCCAAATATATACCAACTGCAGCCAGTTCTCTACCCAAAGAGAAAATAATTGAATTGAAGCATTCAAAAGCAAGCTCTATTGGTGGCAAGACTTAACTATGCTATATTTACTCTAAATCTAGCCACTTAAAATCTGTTTATAGAACAAATATTCCATTTCCAAGAGTTATAGTCAGTTTTAGAATGAAAATGGACGTAGTTGAGGTGAGCCACCGACAGAGCGCGACGTAAATTATTGGTTTATATCGAATCCACAAACTTTTTAAACAAACTAAGCTTCCTAATCCACTTCATGTAAACTATAGCGTCTTTTATAATACACACGACATCTAAGTAACCAAATACCTAGAGAAAAATAGAATATAAACATTAGCACAATCTGTGAGCGATTCATTCTACCAAATTCTAATTTGAAAAAAATACTACAGCTGCTCCATAAAGATTGGTTGTCAACCAGAGAGCACGCCAACTGTATCCAAAATTCACTTACGGATTTTAAAATGCAAATTAGATGAAATCTTCACGGAAGTAAATACAACGACCTACTTGTTTAGAACATGCGTTGGAAAATCAAATTAAAAATTGACCTTGGTGTAGCAAATCGAAGGTGGCCCGTTATACCATGTTGGCGCCACATTAATCTACCAACTTAAATGCATTATTGTGTTTGCTTTACGCTCAAGATTGTGTCTATTGTTGTGCCAGGAGTACAAGCTCCGTTAGCAGACTACTAGTCACTAGTGACTACCTTTGTAAACAATACAATCCTTATGTACACACATGTACAATTGGAATATACTGCTACCAAGTTGTATTTTAAGTCTGATCCAATCGGTTTTGTATCTACTTAAGAAATTATGTGCATTTTTTATAAATTTTCATCATTGCCTCTTTTAACAAAACCCAACATTAAGGTGAAATGAGGTATAAAATTCGAGTGTCGGATGTGTGACGAATGAAATAAAATACATCAATGAAGTGGAATTGTATGAAATTGATTGATATACAGAATTTGATAAAATACCTACGTCAGCAAAATTAAATACCTTGACAAAACAAAGCAAATTAATCAAATCAGTAGTGCGATCAAATTTAAATATTTGGTTTGACATAAAATTAGAACTATAAATGAACAGTGAGTCCATTTCTATAAATTAATCTACTTTAAAACTATAAAGTTAAAACGTATTTTACATTTTTATTCTTAAATCATACTAGCCCCTGCCCTACTACCTGAGTTCGTAAAAAATTACCTTTTAAACTTTCTTTTCGAATCAGCTTAAAAGATAATACCACTTTATCAAAGTTGCTTTATAACAGTCCAAGCATCTTAAGTATTCGGGAGTTACCAAACTTTTAATGAAATCTGATGCAAAAAGAATGAAACAAGTTCTGATTTAATAATGCACTCTGAGAGTTTTTGCCGTAAATTGCGAACTGTTAAATTTATTATGACAAAAAAATCTGACATTTGTCCTATTTTACTTCAATGTAAGTTTATCATTACTCTCATTTCTTAAGGTCTAAGTATAGATTTTTGGTTCTATAATGGCAATCAGTGATTTAACAAAATAACTAACCTGTAACTACGATCCTCTACTAAAATTCACCGCTAAGTATCAATGAAAATTGAACGACCAGATGAACCTGGAAAATTAAGTTTTTTTAAGCTTTAATACTGCATTATATTGGGTTTTATTGTAGCATTATGAACCAAGCATGCTACAAATTAGTCACTAGTACATACTACCTTGGATATTAGATACACAGGTAGACATCCCATCTATTTGAACAAGCTTAATTAAGCGAGTCTATCATAGAGTATGATTATCGAAGTTATATTTTGTATTTTAGGTACCCACTGTATCGATTAGGTATAAATGTTTTACAATAAGTTGCCATTTCAGTTTGTTACGATTGAGAAGGAGGTGTATCTTATACAAATTTGTTTTTTTAGCTGAACACTCTATCGTTGGAACAATTAATCTAAGTTCTCAGTTTTTTAAAAGCTTGATTTAAACCATTTGAAATACAACGTGTTCTTCGTGGTATGTCGAAGTCTATGCTAATTCTTCATGCAATGCGTATTTAAACCCAATACATAGCATTACCAAATCCAATATCCGTTAATAGTTGTAATCCGTACTATTTAAACAACCTTAGACCCTCACCAGTAAATTTTAATTAACGTGTGCCCATCGTAGCAACAACGTACCAAGGCGCATCTAGGCAATATGCTTGCAGTGTCTGAATTGCCACTCACTTAATGCAGGCGCAACCTTACTACTGCTATTGGAATTGGTTACTTCAATTAACCTATTAATACTATTAGACAATTGAATAGTGTCCATTACTTAAAATTCTTGATGATTGATGGTATCTGATAGTACAAAAACCAACATTTAAACGTTATAATGTAAGAAATGTAAAAATGTACTTGCTTAGCCTTTAATCATTCGTTGCTAATAGTATGAATCTGAACATAAATTGTGTTAATAAAAATGGCAAGGGTTGTATGAAGCTAAACGAATGCTATACCGGTATGTTCTAAAAGACTATTTATTATTTGGTTTTATATTTGCTGGTCGACAGCACTGTATTAACAGTGACAGCACTGCGATGTGTTTGTTGATAAACAACTATGCAATTAAGTTGGAACCTTCAATCGCTTGGTAAATTTAATGGTATGTAAATGATGAGCGTGCATACGAAATTACACAAACAATTAATTGTGTTTCCTTTATCAAAATCTATAACAACGTATCCTTTTGAAATATAAAATTAATTCTTGTGAAGCCTTTAGTGGAGGGAAGTGAACAAAATAGTACCAAATATGGTTGAATAACAGGTTATGAAAAAGAATGATGATATAGTAATACTTTAGTAAAAAATAATTTCAGAAAACGTGAAGTGGTTTTTTAAACGGAGCCACGGGACTTTTCCCGTTAGTTTTTCAATTGTTTTTCACTGAGGTTTTGCATAAATTATTCTGGAGCGTGTATACCATTCTCAAAGTTCTTTTCCCGATTATTACATTACTTTAAGCCATTGCCGAGATTTGAACCAAGCCCACCAGAACACAAGTATAGCACATTAACCACAAGATCCCCTTCCAATTCACATTCTATAAAATCAATTCTCCCAAGACATAAAACGGTATTTCTAAACCACCAAAATTTGACCAAATTTCGTTTAAATAATTCAAAACACAATATTTTCCGCATTTATGCAATAATTATTATTCTAATCCGCAAATCGCCGAAGTTTCTACGGAATAATCTGCGTCTCGTTACTAACTAATTTACAATTCAATTTTCGTTTAATATTCTCCGATCATATCCAATTAAATTGGACGATCGCTATCAAAGCGTTAGATTCCAACACTTTATCGCTTTTATTACACCGATTTACTCCCACTCGTGGGGAAATAGTGCTGAATGGGGTAAGGCGGGATTTGAATATGGACCTATCCCAACACCAGGCAGTATTGAGCGACAGTGTTGCCAGGGATACGATAATTGTTTGGTCGGTACCATAATTTTTTCTTAAATAGGAAAAATATCGTAGTTAATGTGATTGTGCGATATTTTGTAGAATAATACGTTGTAACATTTTTTATGTTATTTACTTTAACTACTCCAGTGGTGAGATTGGATATTTTATGCTGGATATGAATGAAGGACGAGTGTAGACTGTAGAATGTGGGAGGCGAATGTTTTTGTGAACTGGGCTGTTATATTGTTCGAATAAGTTATGTTACAAATAATTGTGGTTTATCATGTAGCTTACAAATGTATCAAAATTATACCATAGAAAATGCATAGATAATATAATTCAATAAATTAAAAGAATATACTGTAGTATTTTAATGCTCTACGGCCGGGTTTTTATGATTGTCCGTCTTTATAGACAGAACTATATAGACGGACAACTACAAGAAAAATAGCTGTTATCTCGTGAAGGACACATATAAGAAGTTCAATCCTGTACTACTAAGATAATGTTTGATTTTAATTCATTGTTTCTTATACTTTCTACACTCATTCGCACCGATTCGGCTTAAACGCAAAATAATCTAAGAATACGTTGCCTTTTTAACAAAATTATAAATTAAAAACTCGTGCAAAACACATAACACAAATTCCCAGCATGCTCATGGATTGCTTTAGCTCCAATCAAAATCTAAAAACTATAATATTTTTCTGTAAAACAATAATAACTTAATCAACATAAAAAAAAAGAATCATACAACATATTACGAGAATCCACGAAAAATTCACGTATTTATACGATAATCCGTGAGCGTCCGCACGATAATTCTGGTACGGCTGTGCGCGCGCACCCCGGCTCGCCGCGACGCCTAGTAGATTGCGTCGCCGGTCACAGTACTTACAGCGGGGCCGGGTGGCCAAGAATGAGAGGGACTCTGAAAGATCTGCTGACGTGTACGTTTAGCAGCGAGCCTTGCCCAAGGAGCCAACGCCGATCTTCAGGTATATCAGGTACGATCACCTGTTTCTGCATTGTTGATCAGCTGATTCATTGTTGATTTGACCATTTGACCGATAGCGAAAAACACATGATTGAGTGATGTGTTGTGAATCCATAGTAGTAATCGTTTTGAAGTGTTGCAATGTTGTTTGAATTTTGTTGTGTAAGTTCAAGAGTAGTGTTTGAAATAGTACAGTACTAAAAAAATTTTATCCGTGTTAAACCGGTGTAACGTGGAATAGTAATGGGGAATGTTAAAATCGATTGCAACTAGGGATAGACATATAACTTTATTTTCAACCCATTTGACGACTATTCTACCACTCAAATAGTTTTTATGTAAGCCGGTGTACAGATTTCAGTTTAATTTATTGATTTATATCAATCATATATTATTGTTTATATATTTGACTGTATTTTATCCTTGTCTGTATAATCAAAACTGGGACATTTTACTTTGTTGATGTGACTGGCAAGTGTAAAATGCGTATTTTGTGACCTTGAACTTAATTAGAGAAAGAGGGGTGGATCGCAAGAGGTGAGAAGTTTTAAGGGTGGCAGGGGGTGGTGAGGGAATGAGAAAGAGTGAGGTTTAGGAGGAGCGGTGCACCACCCTTTTAGCATGACGTAATCAATGTGCCCCATGCTGTCATACGGTTATAAACATTGTTGAGCATCTATGAGATTAAGGAAGCAGTGGTATATTAAATTAACTATAAATCAAATGTTAAGGGGTTCTTGCTATCTTCACTATCAGTTTTTTGGGGAAAACAGAATTTTAAAAAATTTGGGAAAAAGTATTTAAACCATTTTATGCTTTGATATATTATAATGGGGTATTAGATGCTGAGGGTACCAGATAAATCCAGTTTTGAATACAAGAAAAACACTTCGAATCTTAACCCCTAAAGAAAATTTAGGTTCAAGTAACCACATGGATTTCAATATATATATATATATATATATAAATGAAAATGAGTTGTTAAAGCGATTTTCCACATTTGAAACCCATGGTTTGACTACAAAATTTTAATTTTAAAAACGTTTTATACATACTTGAGCTCTATTATAACCATCTTTACATTATCAATTGTTACATAGATTTTTACAATTTTCATGTTAAAAGGATAAGCTATTTGTGAGATTTCTCTTAACAGTTATTAAAAACAGCCTAAAATCTAAGTTCAAAAGAATGAAATGTTGCAATACCTAAATATGCCCAAATAATTTTTACTCAGATCATGTAACATAATAAGGATCACAATTGAATACAGTAGAACCTTGATAACAAATCCCTCTCATAGGGATGATAAAATATGACTTGTTATCAAGGTTTACTCCTTGACGAGGTTTGCAATAACATGTAATTAAGTAGAACTAGCAGCCGTGACTCCAAAATCTGTGATATTTGAATTAATTTACAATTTTTTACTGCTCTCAGTTAGGTTGAAATTTATCTATTTTTACGTGATAATCATTAACTTCTCACTGACTTTAAATTTTTTTAAGCAAACCCTGAACATAAACTTTGTAATTAGTTTTTCCAAAACAATATGAAATCATGCATAAAGAAGTGAATCGAACTTTAATAAAAAAAAAAACTTTTTCCGATAAGTACATTATTTCAGCCAACCGGGCGCGGCTTAGACCAACATAAAGTTACCCGTAGGAAAAAACTGTGTTCATGTATCACGTCTAAAATATAAAGCATCACAAAAACTACATACTTCATTCATTAGTTCAAGTTCAAAAAGAGGGAAATTTTCTGAATTGACCATGGCTAAGGGCAGTTGATAAGGCTAAGGCTGAAAGAAAACGATTATTCCTAATAATATCCCTATTATTTTCACTACACGATCTCTTCGAGGTATCTAAGAAAGATTACAAATACTAATGAAACATACTATGAAAACACTAAATCTGACAAAACTGATTTTCTTCTTTACACTTCTTAACATTTCTTCATTTTTTACTCTACACAAAATCTACCTATCAAAACACAAAATCTAAAGTAAGAAGGAAATTTTATTTTTAATTTTATACAAATATCATTACAATATTTTACTTGAACTCACTAAAACATCACCAGCTGTAAGATAACCCAATTTTCGTATGGATGTAAACAAAATGGCCATCTGTTTTGATGCAAACAAAATGTAAACTTGAAAAAGTCCAGATAATTGACAATAGAATTCAGCACAAACTCTGAAATATTAAAAGCCTATACCGTTGACTATATAACACTAGTGTTATATAGTCAATGCCTATACTTAGGACGAAGGGCTTTCAACGGATATCATCCAAACCAGCAAAACGCACATCTAGAGGGCAAGAGTTTTAAATTGATACCCAATATGTCTATGATACTGTAATAAATATTTAGGGATTGATTTGCTGCACAAAAAAATCAAACAAATTCTTTTAATAATATAGATACAGTCTACTCTTCGTAAGTTAAACACTCAATAAATCGAAACTTTCGATAATTCAAAATAAAAGCTTATTCTGTAGAGAATCTCTCGATATTTCAAATTTTTACCATGTATTTTGATACACTCGGTATTTTAAAGTCCAAATAAAAAGACAGGCCAATTTGGAAAACGCAGTAATTCGAAGTTTCATTGGCAAAACACCCTGTAATTTGTATTTTGTAATTTGTGTATTTGAAAAATACACTGGTTAACAAGGGCCACTTGGTATATTATCTACTGTTTTTCTTTTAATCCTTATATATGAAGGCAATTTCTACGAAACACTACTCCTCCGTTAATAATGGACGGATTTTTACAAACAATGTGTCAAAATTAAATATTTTTTTGTAAGTTACTTTATGAGTATTCGTGACTACATTAAGTGTTTTGAAGTAAGGTTAGATTAGGAAGGTAAAGTGTAGGTTATAGGTAGGTGATCGGTTTATTTATTTGTGTTGCACCATATTATTTTTTTTATTTTTTGGAATAGTTGGTTAAACGGGGAAACGATTTCAAAAATGCTTGCATATTAAAGGTCTTAACAAACCATCTACAGTATTCTAGCATTGACTTTATATAAAGTCAATGATACTAGCAAATTACTACATACAGACCAAAAGAAAAGAACATTTGGATTTGGACCTTTGACCATAGCAAACCTAACATATAATTTATGAAATGTGAAAAGTTGTATATCATTAAATACTATTCTGTAATAGCCAATTAATAATTGTTTGGCAAATCCTCATTTTAATGGCTTGGCCAAAAATGGAATCTGCATTTTGTGAAACAGTAATTTGGTAACAATTCAGTAATTTCAAATGTTGATAACAGTAGCCTATCCTATAAATACTGTTATTTGATTGCCAGGCCACGGACTATACATACGTCCAGTTACAGCCGTAATAATAAGTAAATAATTAATTACCTGGGCTTATAGAAGTACACTTTTAACCACGGTATGGATAATTGTCTAGAGCTGTCCAATGGTTTTATTAAGGCCAGTATTAAAATGCCGTCTCTAAATCGTCCCAATAATGGTAGAAGACCTACATGCCAGTTACATTACAATCATATCCTCCATCAAGAATACTTGGTATTAACAATCATAAACAATTTCCAGCAAAGAAAGCCGAGTTTAACCGAATGCAATGGTTGAAATGAAGACCAATGTTTATGTTGCACAGTTGAATTTAAATGTCAAATTTCCCCTCCTGATGTTATACTTTAATACTCGTTTTTTTAATAGTTACTGTTTTTTTTTTATACTTAAATACTTTAACCGATTGTAAGGGTGAAAAATTAAGTCCAATATTTTTGTTGTAGGCTACAGTTGAATTTGAATGTTAAATTTCCTTTCTCTTTTTTATACTTGAATGCCCTTTTTGGATGTTAATATCAGATTCCCTCTACTGTAATATTTTCCTGGTCAAAACTACCATAATGCACTTCTGGAAGAGGTATCTGAGTAACAAGGTGTAGTTAAAACAAATTTGAATTATTATAATTTTTATCAATAAAACAAGCATTAGTATATCTATTGACTTTTTTACATTTAGTTACTTATACAAATATCAAATCACGTTTGTTCCGCTCAACTGGCTTTCACCTCTCTGAAAGCAACCCTAGTTAACTTGCTTCGTGCTAAATAAGTTTACAATTTTAAACTTAGTCTATGTATATTTCAAAATATATCAACAAAGTGTGATAAGTCTTATATTTTTAGCTTACCTATATATACATCATTGACCTTGATATTGGGGATAGGGTTTAAAGAGCAGAAATATCTTAAGTAGAAATTCAGACAGGAATAGTGTTGTCGCGTGACTGACTAGGGGTGTGGTGCTGGAATTGGCCCAACAATCTACTGCAAGTCAGGCATTTACCTGGAGTACAGCTTAACTGGCTTGGATATATCACTTATGACATGCAACTCAGTTCCTCAAACCTAGGTAGCATGATATACATTTTAGGAAATATTTAAACCAACAACGAGAGAAAAACATTTAGAAATTTATTTTTGAATTCAAACCCTACCCTAAGTTTTGATTATATCACATAATTTTGTTTCTAAAATTACCTTTTTATACATGTAAAAATGTATGTGCCATGATACAAAATTTGAATAAAAATTGAAAATAATGAGATAGATCATTACTTAGGTTAGAAACTGAACCTAGTTAGGAATTATTTAAAATTTAGGAATGCAAAAAGAATGTGAAAAATGGCTTAAAAGAAATAAAATAGTTTGACATATTTTACTTTTTTAATCTCTTTTGTTTGCTTAGGTATTTTAAATTTCTTACAGTATCCTGAATGATTTTATCAGTCTAATTTTTTCATTTTAAACAAAAATTATCATGGATTATTGGATTACAACTGCCTGAGTCAAAAGAATAATAAAATCATATACATATAGGTATTCCAAAAGAAAAAATGAATTGGGTGGATATCAGAATTGGTTATTTTTTTCATCGACAAGTCTTAATGATTTTATATAGCCTAGGACAATTTGGCTTCTGTGAGGTTGAAAAGAACGT